ACACACACACACACACACACACACACACACACACACACACACACACACACACACACACACACACACACACACACACACACACACACAAAGAAAGACTGAGCATGCTCTAAGATCCCTCATATAAGGGGTAACAGAAGTCACATGACTGAATGATGATGGTGCTGGTTACAGACGTGCGGCTCATAAATTCAATGCTTCTCATATTAGCGCCATAAATCCTGCGATTGCTGCTCGTTACACACTGAAGCGGCATCACTGTGCACACACATCCTAAATCTCGCCGTATCAGCACTCAATGTTGGGATGTTGTGCAAAATGCAAAGAAAGCCGAGATGGAGCCACGATTTTTTATTGATAACAGTAAATGTTTTTAAAGGTTGAACTACAGCAGGGCAGCTGTAGCACTCAGGACCTGCTGGCAGGGCGCTTTCACCGAGACTTTCACTGAAAAAGACGTCTGTTTGGAGGCAGCACGTGTTCCTCAAAAATGGAAATGTATTTAAATCCCCGTTTCTCGTCGTTACCTCGTATATGGTGAACTGCGTCCGCAGGTCTGGCTCCGTCCCCTTGTTGTTCATGTGTTTGCGGATGACGGCCTCCATCCCCAGCAGCTCCAGCTTGTCCGTCACATCGTAGAACGAGTCCTGGTCCGGGAGCGCCACCAGAGTCTGAGAAGCACACGGAGGAGTGAGTTTGTACTTCCCAACTTCTGACCTTCTCGCTTACATTTGGAAATTTTGCTTACCTTGTTGATGAGTGTCATGGCAAACACGAGCAGCTCCGTGTCGGCGCCGTTCCTCTCCTCCAGGACCTCCATCATATAACTCCATGGCTTCACAGCTGCCAGACACACACAAAAACACCTGATCATCATACGGCTGAGCACCTGGTGAAGCTACCCACGTCACATTCAGGGCATCCGTCAGAGGAAGAGGTGATAGGTCACATGGAGCAGCTAATGAGAGTAAACGTTACAGACCGGTTATATGTGATCTTACATAAAACCATCATCTGCGTTTTTGTGCGCACCTCTCTGTCCAGCCACGGTGTTGACGGCTCTGATGAGCAGAGGACTGTTGGACTCTGAGTACTCCACGAAGACGATGAGCAGCTTCAGGGCAGTTTTCACCACCAGGCGAGACTAAAACAGAAAAACGTGTTGAGTGTTTGACCAGCAGGTGGCGTCGCACCGCTGCTCTGAGGTCCGAGGACTCACCGAACTTCCCGTCAGCGTGTACAGCCACTGCACCGTCTCGTTGTGGTTGATCACTCCGTTCATGCCGTCCACAAACAGCATGATCTGACTGAGAGCTGAGGACACACAGACAGATGGATGAGCGCTGGCGTTTCCACAGGAGGCTCCAGCAGCTGCAGACTATAATCTGCAGCGCTGACTCAGCTTTCTGTGGGTTTGCTGGACTTGTGAAGCCGAAGCTCCGTTTCCATTCTGACCGAACACGAGAGCATGCGCCGATCCGAGCACGCGGCCCCAGGTCTGCGCTTCTGCGCTGGCGCCGTCGGCACGTTCCCAGCGAAAGCGCCAAGTTTCACTGCTGCCACTGTTTGCGTTCCTGTCATTTGGGTGAAATTGTGCCTGCCGGGCAGAAAGTGCTGCAGCTGACACAATAATTTACACATTTGTGCTTCTGGGCTTGTTTTTCCTTTTCCAGTTATACTAAAAGCTTCCAGCTGATCCAAAATGCTGTAATTCAAAGTAACCTCAGTAAGCTTTCCAGCAAATCTCACCATTAAAAAACACACAACACACATCTACACTTTGCATCAACTGAACCAATATTCGAGTTCGTCTACTGTAACCTTCTGATATTAAATTTAACTAAATCAATTTTCCTGTTAAACTGAAGCTGGTGTTAATGTTCCTGTGTCACTGTAGATCTCCTAAACGCCCGAGCAGGTGGATTACCTGCAGGATTATGAGCTGCGTTAACTAAATAGTCCTACAGTTAAACACAAACCTTCACATCAGGCACGTTCACTGAGTGAATATCTGCTTCAGACAGGCTTCTCACAGATCTGTGTTCAGCCGTGTGACAGCTCAGGCACGATGAAGTTAGAGGAGCGTTTTTGGGATTTACAAATGCTTTTTCGCCTTATGTGATTGACCTCTGTGCTCTGAGCATCTCTGTGCACACGCAAACATTCAAAGGTTTCACAGCCTCCCTTTAATCCTCAGAGTCGGTGGAGTCTCACCTCTCAGGATGTAGTTCTGGTAGTTGTGGTCGGCCTCCGCCCCGACTTTAATGAAACACGTCAGCCCGTCAGAGGCCACGAACTCTGGAACCAGGTCTTTATCATCCTACAGACAGAAAAGACTCGTTTAGGAGACCGTTCCAGCCGGTGTTACAGAGACGGAGCTCCTGCTGCAGAGGCAGTCACACTGCAGCTTGTTTTTAATACTGAAGTCAGACCTTCGTTCCCTGAGGTTAGCCTGCAAGGCAGCGGCTCCTCACAGGTAACAACAGCTCGCACAGACAGAAGCATGAAGCAACACATTAATATGTCAACAGTTAATCTCAAGAACTTCAGGCCAGTTTATGTGCTGACCTTCAGAGTCTGTCGTTTCACAGATATGGCTCATGTGACTTTTGTGCTGTATGTGTTTATATTATCTTTGCTGATGGATTAATATAGAAACAGGATGTCCCTGCAGCTGCTTCTCAGGGTGAAGCCAGTTTCTCATATAATAATCAAATATTTCCTCATATTTTGCCTTTAAAATGCCAGTGCTGCAGCGTGGGGAAGGCAAGTGTGGGAACGTGGTGTTGAAGTGTATTGTTATGCCTCGAAGTGGCCTCGAGCAGTAGGAAGCCACTCGCTGATGAACTTTGATCAGGAACACCAAACTCAGCTCCTGCAGTCACTTGTTTTCCTAACGTGTGCGTTCTTGTGAGTCTGACTTTGTGTCAGAGTCAGCTGCAGTTACAACATTCATGCCAACGGCCACTGAAGAAATCTGAAGACTGTCTCATAATTACCAGATATTACAGGAACCAGCAGCAGTGTGACCTGTGTGACCCATTTCCTTTAATCATGCAGGATAAACAGATCCGAGAGGGTTGTTCGAATTTTTGTTTGAAGCTTTAAACAGCTGGTTTGCATTTAAGACGTTTTTACATCATCGTTAGCCAAAGACACTACATCAGGTGGCTGCCATTAATTATTTCCACTTTTAGAGGAGTTTTTTTTTCTAATGTTAATCAGAATAAACCTAAAAAAATCCACATAGAAACCAGAGAAACTAAAACTACAGCCACAGAGCAAACAACAGGTACAGGCGTCTCCCAGGCTCTAGCTCAGACTACTAGACTAGTCCCCAACCTTTTTTGCGCCACGGACCGGTTTATGCCCGACAATATTTTCATGGACCGGCCTTTAAGGTGTCGCGGATAAATACAACAAAATAAAACTAGTACCGGTACTGAAAAAAAGGAGATTTATTTATAACACACGTAAAAAGACCCAGGAAAACCGAGTTAACGATAAAAACGATAACAAAATAACGCTGAAAACTGATAAAAACCCTGAAAACCAGACATTTCACACCTGAGCCTCAACTCTCGTGGCCCGGTACCAAAGACTCATGGACCAGTACCGGTCCGAGGCCCGGGGGTTGGGGACCGCTGTACTAGACGAATGCAATCACGACCTCAGCTGAAAAGAAGTACAGTATTTTTTGGACTATAAGGCACATTAAGCAAAACAAAACAGTCAGATAAGTCAACTTTACTCAACTTGTTCTTTTTGCTTCTTTTACTTCTGTACCATTGATTCATTAATGCTGAATTCTCTGGCAGCTGCTCTATTCCCATGTTGTTGCAGTATATTAATGACTAACCTGGTATTGTGGATGAATAATCTCAGTTGTTCTCCTGACTGAAGTTTGGTCCGTTTACAGCATCCTGCCATGTGATTGCATTTGTCCCTAACCATCGGGAACCCTCGAGTTCACTTTTATCCAGTGGAAAAGTGTTGGTGTTCGTCCTCCAGCTTCACTGCGTTTATGTTATGCTAACATAGCTGTGTTGCTAGCGATCACGTAGCACATCATTATATACCAGCTAGCCCAACTTCAGTAACCCTACAAACGTCACTGCTGTTTAGTTTCCTGTCTTCATTTATGTTGGAAGTGATAGCAGAGCTGTACGTTTGAATTGTTTCACAAATCTCTCAGTCAGAACATGCTATATCATGCTTAGGTGGAAGCTAGCGAGTTAACTTCCTGCCAACGTCTAACTCCATTAAATTGAATAAATTCTGTTTTCATGGATGCCTGGATGTTAAACTTAATTGTTACACCTGGTAGAGCAGCAACGCTGATCATTTTATTAAAGACAAAAGAAATTGCACAGGTTTTACCTTTCAGTGATGCTGCAGTGTTTTGGACCTGAAAGGACGGAGTTTAGGACCCAGATTACTCTGGGAGACTCCTGACTATGGTAGCTGTAGTGCTCTGACAATCCATCAAGCAGTGCAGCTCCTAGCTTACTAAAGTCTTACCAAAACATTTGACAGATTGTTAAGCGCCGTGTAGCACAAAAAATCGGTTCTAGGTCAGTGAGCACAACCAGAATTCATACATAAGGTGCACCGGATTATAAGGCGCACTGTCGATTTTTGAGAAAATTAAAGGATTTTAAGTGCGCCTTATAGTGCGGAAAACACGGTAAAATCATTTCACGTGAGTGTAAGCTGAGCTGTGCTTAAACGAGAAGTATGGTTCTGACAGGTGAGCGTGTTACCTGGAAGAGCTGTTTGAGAGAGAAGAGGGACCGCCGGAGTTCTGGACCCTGGGAGTTGTAAAGTTTCTCTGAAACACAAGGACAGATGCAGGAAGTCACTTCATAACCAGTGGTGACATAAAAACGTCAATACTGTGGAAGTACCACAAGCCTGACTTCAAGTTTTAAGCACAGCACTTAGTACTTAACCTAACTTAACCTACAAAGCTTCCCTTAAACAGAGGATGGAGATGGGGGGGCTAAAAACAACAATTTCCAGTTTTTTTACCCCCTACCACAGCCTCTGATTTTCTCAGTATCAATGGTATGTTTGAAATGTAGCCGTTCAAAAGAAAAGCCTCATTTCTGATGACACAACAGTTTAAGTGAATCTAAACCAAAATATCGTTCAAATATCATCAATTGCACAAAATCCTCAAACACTCCTTTTACTTTCATTTAAACACAGTGAATCTCTGCAGAGAGCTGAGCAGGAATGACTGATTTCCACTTAGATGAACATTAAGCGTCTTTACTGCTCTTAAACACAGACTACACCTGTGCAGGTGATGTGCACGTACAGATCTCTTTAATCCAGGAGGAGTGGTGCAGGTTTCTGAAATTTGAGTCAGGTCAGATCAGGACTCTCAGGTCCACGACAACACAAACACGAGCAATCAGAAAACAAACAAACCTGCAGTTCATCAAACAAACAGCAGGTGGTGCAAAGAAGCTACAGCAGAAGAGACCACACTCATTAAAAAGCTCAATTAAAATGTGCGTTTTCTGACTCCATTTCCACTGCTCAGTGCACCAACCACAAGCATCTTACAACCAGAATGAATGAGTGAGCCCCTGCAGTTTCAGTTGCATGCTCTGCCTTTAAGCACACTTTGGAATTTCTGTGTGAAACTTGACATTCTGCCCGTGTTAGCCAGTAACTGCTGTTTCAGTTGTAAACAGCACTCAGTCTATAGGAGTGAGCTTGCACTAGTCTCTGCTCAGTTTCATGGTCATGGTCGGTCAGCGACACTGTCATCCACCTGTATGCAAAGCTCCACCAAGGCTCAAATTTTCCTCCACGACAGATGCAAATGGCGTCAAAAAGCATCAAACTGACGTCTCACAATTTTTCGTTACCTTCTTCTGTGAATTTATGAAACTGTAACACAAAATTAAAGATCAAAGTCAATATCTGGCTCTGAATCAGCTACAATGTAACCAAGACAGACTTCTCAGAAAATTTCATGCAAATCGCTTCATAATCCTAATTACAAACAAGCTGAACCAATCCCGTGTCCTCTTTGGTGACACCAATGACCCCATAAATCTGTGTTCTGACCTTGTTTTGGGGAGCCGGGAGAGGACTTCCTTTCTACTTTTTATTTATTTTTTTAATCTCCCATTAGATGGAGCCTTAGCTTTTTTCTTACAGCAGAACCATAATTAATATGTTCAGGTTTTACTGGTTTCCAGAGTCTGACTGGACCACTGCAGGTTGTGGAAACACTGCCCCCTGTCCTGCAGGCGGCCTCGTAACCACGTGTGAACCTTCAGGCTCAGGCCTCTTGAGACTGGCACCAAAAATGAGTCAATCCCCACAGACTCCCAAAAAAATCCAACTTCAGCATTAAAAGGCATATTTATAGCCTGGTACAAAATAAATGCATAGTTTCCACTTTAATCACAACAGGACCTTTTTAAAAACACCTGTTTTGGTCAAATCTTACATTTAAGGGCTTGGCTGCTTTGATTGTGCCGCTGTGATGATACAGGGAGCTGTAACTGCTACACCTCTGAACCGGGCCTCCACACCATGTTTTAGGAGCAATTATCTGACAATAAGTCTGCTTTCTGTTACAGCTCGTCTAAGAAGTTTGTGCTTCGGTCTCGCATGCACCTGAGAGCTGCGTGCATCTGTTATATACCAGTCAGACACTTTTGGTTGCAATGCGATTTGTGTGTCCACTCAGAGTACTGACCTTAAAGGTCAACACTGTCTGGGACATTAGAAACGTATCAGCATCGTGCTCAGAGACGTCTCCTCTATTCCTCAAGAGCTCTGGGAAATAATCTCAATCTGATGCTGAAGCTAAATAAACTGGAGACAGTTTGAGTGAAAGTAGAGAAACAGAACTGATTATAAGAGTTCATGAGAAACTGACTCTGGAACACAAATCAAAGCAAGGAAAAAAAAAGGATATGAAACAGAAATAAATAGAAACACGCAGTAACCAGGGCCTATCGCAGAGGGAGGAAGTCACGGAAGGTGTACGTCGCTACAGCCACATAAACATAAATCACTCCTGAATGGCCCGCGATCACCAGCAGCCGCTCGTGCACAAATACTGACTGATCGATTTTATACAAGTGTGATTGGCTGGCAGCTATGACATCTAACCAAAACAAGGAAGTTCAGTGTTTACACGTCAGACAGTTAAGTGCCTCTTTAATGATGAGGGATGTTTGCATGTTATCAAAACACAATCGTGCACAGAGTTCTCTTCAGACGGAGACGGATGTCAGGTGGACGAGCGTGGAGACACATTTCCTCCATCGCCCTCGGCGCTACAGTGACGCCAGCCCTGCAGAAATAACAGGGGCTTAATAGAAACTTGTGACGAACAGCTTTGCAGCCTGATGTTAAACAGCTGGAGAAATATTTCACCGGACGGCGTGACATTTCTAAATCTGACAGAGCCATCCAGAAAAGCTGCTCGTCAGCACGATCAGAAGAAAGCGTCGCAGGAGCGATTCCCGACACCTGCAGGGAAAGTGAGGACACACACCTGCAACGGCCACTTTCATCGGTTTGCATCTGCACTGAGTTTGTACGATGTAATAGCCAGCCTGCAGTTGGCATGGCAACAATCACAACAACAAGATAGAGGATGTTGTGTGTTTGTTGCGAGTCCTGGTTTTAAGATGGTGACAGAGTTGACAGTGGGGTTTCCACCAGAAATATTATGAAGCTTTGAAAGCTTCTACCAGCTACCAGCACTACTTCGACTAAACTGCTTAATTTAAAGGTGACATCTTAATTTATTTAGAAAAAGAAAAAAAAAATCCACTATGCAGGTGTCCAAAAGGCAAAAATGGCCACAAAATCTTGGACATGACTGTAATTCGGGACTATTTTCTGTCGCGGATGCGTACAGATATAGAAGATAAACCTGAATGGTCACGCTCAGGGGGCATCTCTTATCTTAGCTCCTGTCTCTTTAAGGCGACACATGAAAAGCTCCAGCTGTTCTGATTGGTCAGCTGGTTACAGCATACTGTGACCCTGATTTCTTTAGGAGCTTCTGGTTGGTAACCAACGTGCACAATGATAGGAGAATCAGAACCAGGACAAGTAACACCTCCTGTAGAAGTCCCTCTGTTACTCGGTCACCGATCTCTGATGGTTTGCAGTGAGATGATTTGTTCTTCCCCAAACTTTGCTCCTGTGTCTCACATTAAAGCTGCAGCTGGTGTGTTCGTCTTTCAGAGGCTCAACTGAAACTCCTCAGTGGGCAGAGGCGACTTATCATTTCAAACTAAATTACAGCTGACAGATGAATAGTTGGTGATATTTCAGACAAACAGAATGAGGGAGATTACAGAGGTGCAGACACAGGCAGGCGGGGGGAGGGGGCCGCTGCTGAGTTCCTGTCAGCGGACACGAACACAAATAAAGCTCAATCTGAGGAGCTTTACCAACGTCCGCCCCGACGGCCTCCTGCAGCTCTGAGGCTTAAAACAAAGGCTCCAATCAGCCCAGAGTCAGTCTGCACATCTGGGATGACAAAGATGGAGCTGAATGGAAACAAGTCCTAAAATATTTCACAACCGCTCCAGTGTTTCACCACAGAGCCAAAAATAAAAAAAGATGATGTCAGAGGGGTGAGTGTTCGCTTCACCACAGAGTCACAGGAGCCACTCTAGCTCCAGTTTGCTGAGGGAACCAATACTGGTCTTGCTCTCGAAGACTGGAGTTGGACACCCCTGCCCATCAATAATACAAAGAATAACCCAACAATCAAATAACCCCCTATGAGCAAAGACTCTGGTGACAGTGGGAATAAAAAAAACTCCCTTTTAACAGGAAGAAACCTCCAGCAGAACCAGGCTCAGGGAGGGGCGGGGCCATCTGAAGTGACTGGTTGGGGTGAGAGAAGGAAGACAGTCTGTGGAAGAGAGCTAGAGATGAATAATAACTGATGATTACATGCAGACTGGTGTGTAAGCTCATAGAGTGAAAAAGAAGCAGTGCATCATGGGAAGCCGCCAGCAGCCTACACATATTGCAGCATAAGTAAGGGAGGATTCAGGGTCACGTGATCCAGGCTGTGCTCTCACCTATGTGTGCGTTCAATACTTTTAATTATGTACTACAAATATTAGAAGACGTGTCATATTTTTAATGACTGGCTGAGGAAGACCATGAAAATCAGACGCCGCCCTGTGTCACAGCTCAGGCCCAACATGCTCCTGTACTTGATCCCACCAACAATATGTTAGCCTAATGCTGAAGAGGCAGAGTGGGGAGCAGCAGGCTGGAGGCGTACTAAGAGCATGAATCCTGAACTCAGAGAGTCAGCAGAGAAAGCCAGGCTTGTTTACTGACACAGCGAGCTGCAGTTCTGTAGCTCACATTAAGACTCAGGTAATGTTCTGACCCGGGTCAGACTGGGCTGTCCGCCCTCTGGAAGCACTGCACCGCTGCAGACCATTAACAAAGATAACCATCAGGTGGCTGCCTGCACAGTTACATGGAAACCCAACACAAATGTGGAAGACGCAATTTGAGTCAAATACAGTCCAACCGCCTCTCCCACAAAGCTGCAGTCACACCTGAGTGCAGTCAGACCTGCAAGCCTCTACAGACTCGCTTACCCTGTCAGTGACCTTGAAACCTGCCCGGCGACACGAACAGGATCAACGGGAAGTCACAGCCCCTCGTCATTTTTCGCATTAGTATTTCAGTACCCCCCCCCCAACAACAACAACCAAGTAACTTAAGCCACACAACTTCCACCCAGAAAACACTTCACCTGTAATGTGCCGATCTCCGTTCCTGGCAGTAATAAATAACACTTTTAAGCAA